GTTGATTCGCATGCACGCACGGCTCTAATTAAATTCGCAGCTTAATACGGTATTACTAATGAATAATTTAACGATATTATCGTGTCAGTACCGACCGCGAAATAGCTGTTCAAGTCGGAAATCAAATGAGATAGCATAGGATTATGCGATACTTTACACGGGACGTTAATTGCAAATAATAGAGATAAGTTTGTTCCTTCTATTGTATATTTGTCGCCAATAGATAATTCCATCCGTGTATTATTTAGTAAATATTGATTTTTTACATAATAACGTTGAATTATGAACGAAATTGCGATAACATATTTAAGCTTGGTAAAAACTAAGAAATTTTCGAAAGACAAGATATATCTCGATAACTTTTTTAAATTACCAAATAAGAGAGAGAGAATTATTTCTAAATATATATATTACTTCAAAGATAATAATGCGCAATATTAAGAGTATAATAAAGAGCTTTGAAATCGTTGGCGGGATGATATCAAATGAACGACGTTCACTATATTTAAAGACGGATTCGAATCGAACGTAATCACCCTATATAATTTATAATCTGTGCGACGGGAAAAAGTGAACGAGACACACACATAGAGGAGAAAAAAATCACCGAGTAATTATTATCGCGTAGCTATTATCGACCAATTAACTCGTGAACGATCACGCTATAAGCGCTGCATACAAATAAAGAATGTTTCCTTTCGCATCAACAATTATAAAAATTATCTTTATAAATCACTATCTGTCTCCATCGTCAATCTATCAGAGTATAAAGACAGAATCAATTCTGATTCATTCGTTCCAGATCAATCATGATTCTTTATGTTTATTCTTATATTTATTGATCAATTCAAAGTTGTTAATTGATAAATGAATGAATATTCACGAAATCATACGTTGTAAGCTAATCAAATTGCAAGTTAATTACATTCGCTATTTTCATTCGAAGCAAAGCAGCTTTTTCAATATAATGCGGCGCGAATTAACGAGATAATGCCACACGCTTGGAGAGGCCGCGCTTTTTAAGAAACAATTTCATCGACCTTTTTGTACGACAGAAGGGCGCATAAGAGATGCGCCACGGCACTTGCAACGGGAAACAAACAGGAATGGAGGGACATAATTAGTAGGGCTATAGAGAGACCAAGCTTGGCCTAACCAACTAACGAGCTTTTGCATTCTTGCGCCTTCTGTCGACGGTGATGCAGTTTACATTGCCGGTGCAGACAAGCGCATTACGCGAACACAATGAAAGGCATGCTCCGAAAACTTCACATCTCTCTCTCTCTCCCTCTCGTCGCACGCTTTTGTCACGTGTATCGCTACGCAAAGACATAAAGAATCGCACGTAGCGCGCGAATACATATAAAGTAAATGCATCAGCGAGTCAAATGTGTAAATTTATGATATGCTGCCTGCAGTCGTTTCAAAGCTGCGAATATTGATTACAGAGATTATTTAGAATGTTTGAACGTTTTTGAATTAAATTGTCTTTAATGCGAATTTTATTTGAAATTAATTTAAGATCAAAATATTGTTATAAATTTATAACTTTTACACATTTTTTAATTCACAAGTAGAAGATATTTCAAAAATCATAGCGTTTTGAGATATTTCAATATACAATTCTTATTCGTTTTTTAAACACGCTAAATGGCCTATTAGGCGGTTTATTTAGGCTAAAGTCAACTGCGTAGAAATTTAACTTGAATTTTCGACTAGTCTATTTTTGTATACAAAAATTATATATGTATAACAATAGGGAGAGCGAGAAAAGAGAGAAATTGCACCGTAATAGCGTTATATAAAGTGCAAAGTGAAGCAGAAAAGAAGATGATGATGCGATCTATTCATGCTCGCGATATCTATCAATCATTGTCACCGACACTGCAACGCTCCGAATCGGAATTAACTTTTTAGAGAAAGGCAGAAAATTTCACGCAAAAGTTCGATCTCTTGCTCGAATGCGAGTGACTATTCGATTTTCCTCGACGGAAACTTTTTCCAGAAATATCGTGAAATTTGGGAATCGATATTCATCTAAACTATAAAAAGGACAAAAGGGGGGATTCGTCCTTTTCTTCTTTGAAGAAAAAACGTTCTTGCAATTTCCGGAACGTGCGGCGAAACGCGATATTGAAATCAAAATCGAAATATTATGTCGATATTTATAACAATCTATGAGAAAAAAAAATTTCGTAGTATTGAAACCTCTCTCTCTCTCTCAACAAAATATATAACTCAAAGTTATGAATGTCCTTATTACGAATAAACAAAATTTCAATATTTAGTTCATATCATATTTATAACTTGAAAAAAAAAAATTGAAGAATTTTTATTTTTTATTTTTTCAAAAATAAATGTTATTAAAGATTTTTGTTATTAACAGTATTCAGAAATCTGGATATTGCGAAAGATATGAATATCCAAGAGGATCTTTGAATATTGACTGAATATTCGTAGCGAATGTCTTCAAATATTCGCTAAATATTTAAAAAGGAGCAGAAACAGTCAGCAAGAATGTCATATCTACAGCGGAATAATATAGTATCTATACATTCTCGATATCCATTAAATATCTAAAGAAAATATCCAAGAATATCTACCAAATATCTCCCTCCGTAGACTCCTATCGCTCGTTCCAGCTTTCTCACGGCGAAAACATGACGATTGATCGGGTGAAGTGTGCGTATATGCACCTTTGACATTTTCCATCTCAGAAACTCTGAACGTAAACATCCGGTTACGAATGGAAATTGAGATGCGTAGTGAGAGAGTATGAGCTACCCACGCAGGACGAAAATATGTGTATTTCGAATTCTTGAAAAAAAAACTTGCCAAACTTGAAACGCACAACGATGATCAAAACTCTTTGTCTATTCTATATATTTAAAAAGTCATGGTCAATTTCAGAACGAGATTCCAATTTAAAAAGTTATTGCTCTTTCGCAAGAGCATCTATGTGATTTGACTTGATGCTAAAATGTATTATTAATTTAGGAGAAAAAAGTAAAAACTGTATATAAATATTTTTCACATATTATGCAAAAAACAATTATCCTTATTTATTGAAGATTTTTTGCTTCCTCATAGAGGAAGCTTTGTTTTCGTGACAAAATTTTTTTTCGAGTTTTCTATGCCAATGTGTTTAGAATGTTCCAAAACGTCGAAAAATCATATTCCTAAAAAATGTGTGTGTGTGTGTGTGTGTGTACACAAAGCTTCCTCTATGAGGAAGCAAAAATTGAAAAATCCGCATGCTTAAAGCAGCTTAAGCATTGTAAGATAAAATGATGAGGAAGCAATGTGCAAGTTTTTAATTTGCACAATTCTACTTGTTTATATAGATATATATATGCGATAAGTTTTGAAACTTGCATTTCAGATTGATAATACAAATTTTTCAAATAACAACTTATATTAAAATGAGATTAAGCAATGTTTTATATTTTTATATGGTACAAACGGACAGAATATTTTTGCTCCATCCCTACATTGAGCAAGTTCACGTAATCAGCATCCGGGACGGAGAGCACTTTGCCCGTTATTTTTAACCATGATGATCCACCGATCGGTCAGACAAATCTAATCTCTGATCCTCTCCAGAGGCTGTCAGACTCTCGTCTCACAGCGATCAGAGTTGATCAGTGTCACCGCAAAATACAGACGATTGCTTTGTTCAGGATTGGCAAAATTCCACATTTTTTTGATAAAATTCATGCCAGTGGTATAAACCGGTATTTTTCCGAAAAACTTGACACAAAACTTGTCTTTTCTATTAAAAATGTTAAAATAAATTGAAAATTCTTTTATATCTTTGTTTTCGTCAATTGATAGAATGTTTTCTAATTTAAGCTTTATCCAAAATATAAAATCCATAATAGATTAAATATCGATGTAGCAAATAAATTCATTTTTTTGTTAAAAGATGTTGAATGGTAAACACGAATCGTAGATCTATATTGGTAAAAATTTTTAATCCTGTTACTATTACATTTTTATTAAAATAAAAATTAATATAAAATTTAGTAACATTTATATTTTCCTTCAAAGATTTTATTTTAAAAATGTCAATATTGATTTGAATTAAAAAAGGCTATTATTATATTGATTTCAGTATTTTTTAAACTATAGTAATTAATATGATTTATTAATTAAAGCAAAAATATATTTTTGTATAAAGTTATATAAATATATTTTAATGTTACATATTATAGTTGTTTTTAGTTTTTGCCAGTTTATTCCATTGGATAAAGTCCGGGACAATAAAAACCATGATTTTTTCCACTCACTGAACTTTTCCCAACCTTGATATGTACATATTATATCTCGCGAGACACACAACAATATACATATATGTTAATCTGTTTGTACTTTTTCTTTTCATTTTTTCTTTGTCCTTCGAATAAAATGTGATAATAACAAATAATCGCTTGTTTCGACTCGCTTAGGTGAAAAAAAGTAGAACAAAGAAGCTAATATAATGTGCAGCCACGCAAAGAGAACGAGCTTGAGAATGCCTCCTTCGAAGAGACGCACCAAAAGTACGCATGCACGCACGCACCCAGACGTTTATTTACGTCGCGCGCCCGAGGGGGGTGGATGAATCTCTCTCTTTCTGTCTCTCTCTCTCTCTCTCTCTCTCTCTCTTTCTCCGTCACCCGGAACACGCGATCGAAGCGATGAGAACGACCTAAAAAGTGGCGAGATACCGTTGCACTTGACACGGACCGTGCGCGCTTATATACGTACGAGATACGGTGCGCTACATACGCACTGTACATGGATATCTCGCCGCGTACCCGCATGTCGTCCTCTGGACGAACGAGATCGCCGCTCACATCGTTTGCGCTTCAAAGATCGGCAAGACTCGCAACGAATGATAGACGCGGAGATATAAATACGTGGAAAAAAAGGGGACAGAGAAAATCTGACGAGACAAGATCTCGCGTGAGATCCTCAGCTGTCACGGGAAAGTGACAGCTGACAGAGCGACAGCTTACCTGACCTTCCCGCCGCAAAACTGACAGTGCGTGCCCTGCCAGCCCTCGCGGCACACGCAGCTGCCATTGACGCAGTCACCGTTGACGCAGGTGTCGAGATCGCAGACTGTTTCCACCGTCGGTGACGAGGAAGAGGAGGAAGCGGCGTCGCTTACGCGCATCACCCAGCAGCAGACGAGCACCGCCCACGGTAGGAACGTCGCCCACGGCACCGCGACCGCCGCGGTGTCGCTGCCATGGCCGCGTAGTCGTCGTCGCCACCGTCGATCGCGCACCCCGGCGATCTCGTCGTCGTCGTCATCGTCGCTACCGTTGCCGCCGCCACCGCTGCCACGACGAGATCGCCGCCACTGATCTTTCCGACGATACTTGGATTTATATAGGAACAAAAACATGTGCACGATCTCTGCCATTTTGATAGGCTTCCATGTCAGGGACAATGGCCGCAACGGACGCACCGACGAGGGACGCGCATACGGGACGAGACAACGACGGATAAAATCAGACAGCCTCACCAACACCCGTAATCTTGGACGCGACAAATCGAGTCGACCTCAATCTATCTCGCCCGACGTACTCGCGCGACTCACTGCTACTGTCTGCGCGCTGGCGAGTGGCGAGTGGCGAGTTCGGGAAGAGAGCGCGCAGACGTCACCGCCATGCCACGGTGCACATATACATATGTAGATGAGATATATTATGAAATATATAGACTGCTCCAGAAGGGAACCATCAGATGTAGCAGCGCGAACGAAACAGACGATGATATTTAGTTAAACGTCTTTTTCTTTCCTTTTGTCAACAAGTAGATAAGCAAATTTATGCGTACTTATTATTCAAACAGATATCTTCCATTTACGGTAGAGATATGATATGATACAATGATATGAGCAGTTTATATATTCTATGTCTATGAATATATGTGAGTTCGAAGTTCGAACGGTGAAGAGACCGCCACCGTCCACTCGTCAATCGTCCTATTATATTTTGTTGCAAAATTTCTTTTCCTCATATTTATCTATCTGAGGGTGAATATTGATAAAATACAAATAGATAGATGATAAAACTTTATCTTACGTTTAATTTTGTTTCAAGAGAAATTGGAAGCTTTATTATTATATTGGCGGTATTTCAAATTTAAGAAATAACTTAATTTCCTCAATTAAATTTTCAATTTTCGTATCTATTGGTATCTAATCTAATTTTTCTATCTATTATAAAAAGAAAGAGGAAAGAAGAATATTCAGAAAAACACATTTTCAAATTGGTCGAGTAAGTAAAAAAAAAAAAAAAAAAGTACTCAGGTTTGCTATCTGTTCTCTTTAGCTGAATTGGCTGCACTAGTTCAAAGCTTATCTTTCTTCTTCCAATGTAAACAGAAAAAGATAAACTCTAAACTAGTGCAGCCAGTTCAGCTATAAAAAATAGACTCCCTACTACTCTAGCAGAGAATAGAGAATAGCGTACACGTGTGAACTTGGCTTGTGATATGTTTCGCAAGCATGGCGCGAGTTACGATTGCGGCTCGCAGCGGTTAAGGTTAGATTTCCCCGTGATAGACGAGACGTCGTACCGCTAATGTTCGGGCGAGAGTACAGACCCGCGCAGACAGACGTAGACTTGAAGCGCTGGTATCAGCCAGCCGGTCAGGAACGTGAAAGGGAATCATCGCCGACAGCGTGACACTTCGCATCATCCGCGCGTTTGTAGTGGCAGAGGGAGGTTAAACTATGGCGAAGTACCTGATACAGATCATTGTGATGGGCACCCAGGTCGTCGGCAAGGCATTCGCGCGCGCTTTGCGTCAGGAGATCGCGGCGAGTCAGGAAGCGGCGCGACGAGCCGGTGGCGGGAGACAGGGAGCGCAACACGCCGCCATCAACACCAGGACAGGACTTTCGTTGGACGAGGCGCTCCGTATCCTTAACGCGGAGCGTCTTGATCAGACGGAGCTGATCGAGCGAAACTATAAGTATCTCATGGAAGCTAATGACAGAACGAAGGGCGGTTCGTTCTATCTGCAGTCAAAGATCGTGCGCGCTAAGGAACGCATAGACGAGGAACTGAGGAACCAGGAAAAAACGGGATCTCCGCCACGAACAGACTCGACGAGCGGTCAAGAAGCTTCCAAGCAGCCATGAGATTCACTCTTCTAGTCTAAATTTACTTATTTTAATTCTAGAAACTCTTGTACATAAAATATCATAATTAATAATAAATAGTAGATTCTGATCTATTAATTGGTATAGTTTCTCTCAACATGATATAGTTATTTCTTTTATTTGCATATGTATTTCTAAATATATGATATACCATTATAGAGACAGCAACCCAGACATTTTAAATTTATAATTTGAAAAAACGGGATCTCCGCCACGAACAGACTCGACGAGCGGTCAAGAAGCTTCCAAGCAGCCATGAGATTTACTTCTAGTCTAAATTTACTTATTTTAATTCTAGAAACTCTTGTACATAAAATATCATAATTAATAATAAATAGTAGATTCTGATCTATTAATTGGTATAGTTTCTCTCAACATGATATAGTTATTTCTTTTATTTGATACGTATTTCTAAATATATGATATACCATTATAGAGACAGCAACCCAGACATTTTAAATTTATAATTTGTGTATATTCTTTAATGCATTCAATGATAAAAACCTTTGTAGATACAAAAATGTTACTCTTTCTGTGGATCGAAAAATATGATTTATGAATTAGGAACTATTGCATCATACTGTGTGGGGTGTAAATATAAATAAGAGAGATAAAGTATCCATGTATATATGTACGTATATTCAGGAGATATATTGGTTTGTATAAAAGTTTGTCAAGTTCTCGCTCTTTTACGAAACTTCTTTTTTAGCTAATTTTCAAATTATAGCGCTATTTCGTTAATCCAGCTACTTTCGCATCCTGCGGTTCAATTCTATTCTGTGCCTGGCGTATGATCAATCGCTCTTGATTGTGGCGTACAGACCATAAACTTGGCAAGTATTTTGGTTCCATTCTGTTAAGAAAATGTTCTCTCCACATACGTTCCAATTCAACGAGTCCACCTTCTTTCTTTTGAAAATATTGTACAACCTATCATAGAAAAATTAGACAGTATGAAAATGTCATGGCTACATGTCTAAATAATATTGAAATAATTACCTTCAAGCCATGTGGCTGGCATTTGTACTGATTAGAAACTGGTTGCATCAATGCATTCTTCAATTGCTCGCTCAGGGCATTAAGCAGATCTGGCGTAACCTTTTGTTGTCCTGTATGTTCTAGTATGTATTTCTCAAGCTCTTCTCGTCGTCGCGGAGGTAACAATATTCTTTCCTTCAAGGCCTTAACAGCGGAATGTAATTTCTGATAGTTGTGCATGTATTTATCCCGTACATGCGACATCGGCCCAATCAGTGGTGCATCACACATGTCTGCTAACTTTCTTCTGAGCTGCAGATCATGATTATTGCTGATTTCGTGGCAAGATGGGCACAATAGTAACACATCGTGAGATTGATGTGCCTTCATTACCACTAAAAAGAATATCCAGTATTTTATACAATATTTTATATATACAGAAAGAACTATATATATTTTTATGTTTATATGTGTACTATATTATCATAGTTATTATTGCATAATACTTGTTCTCATCATCAATCATTCTATGTCACTTTTGCTATTTTCAATCATACTTATATCATTGCACAATGTATTGAAAAAAAATGATGCTTACATGGGAAATATTTTCGGTACTCTCGCGGCACGACGTTCTTCCTAATAAATTTTTCTGTGCACCCACAGACTACACATTGATTAATCTTTACTTGCGTATAATACTGCCCAACTTCTCCTAATGCTCGACCAGATGGCTCAAAATTTAATCTTACTGTATATGGTTCTGTCTCCACAAGTTCTCCCAATTGTTTCGTAATATACCATTCCGCCTTTTTGCGGTCACATGTACACAATATATCTCCATCAGGCGCTTGTAAATAACAATTATGATATAATGGTTTGATCCTTGTAGGAATCGTATTCTTATGTTCGTTACTATCATCTTTATCTAATGCTGGTGATTTTTTCTTAGTATTATTATTGCTAGTAGTACTATCTACACTTGGTGATCGCTGAGCTTTGAACCTTAAACAGATATATATTTATGTATTCTCCGTGAATATACATATATATAATTTATATGAAAAAAATTCATAAATTTTCATACCTCGTATCAACTGTATTAGCAGGCACGCCATGAATCCGTACATTTACATCATTGCTCAATATATTATACAAATAAGTCCCTACTCTCTGCCAGAATGAATACTTTTTTCTCTCTTTTTGCATTATCTACAACAAGATTCAAATGTGAAGAGTCTAATTCATTATAGTAATTATACATGTAAAAAAATATTGTTTTTAATAAATTTCCTTACTTTGCGATAAATGATAACGGATGCAAGTGCATCACAAGCAGCATATGCCACTTGTTCGTCTGATAGGGTGCTAGCGTCCCAGTCACCGCACCTCACTTCTACTATTTTGTCCATCTCAATGTTAAGATATTCTAAACACATAGCAGCTAAACTCTTTCGACTTGGCAAATGGAAGTTTTCAGCTAAAGTTCGTAAATCAAGAGTTCCATTAACTCTACATCCATAATCCTTCACTATCTTTTGTCCATCTTCGAAGGAAGCAACTCCAACTTTTAGGATGTGCTTACTAGCTAATAGTTCCTGTAGACAAATACGACAAATATTATTAGAAATTAATTTTGCTATATGCATTTGGATAATAGTTGTGTATATTTTGCAAAATTTACCTTAAGCTTAAGTGGAATATATCCGATCTTTCCGATGCGAAATAGAGCTACTACTCCATTAAAAGTAGCCAATTGTAATAGAGAAACTGGTCCTTCTTTGACCCATTCGCAATCAAAACCAAGTACGCCATCAGACAGATTACTATCAAAAAGAAGTATTATGCAATTAGTTAATAATTTTATTATAATAAGATAAAGAATCATAAATGACACATTTCTACTTGAAAAATATATTTTGTAAAAGACTTTTAAAAACAAGCAATATAGAGAAAAATTTCAATGTAAATTTATAAGAAAGAAAAACTGAGAAAAAATGAAAATTCATTTTTAATCAATCATAATAAAATTCGTTTAATTATGAGAAAATAAAATTCATATAAATCACATAGAATATATATATAAATAAATTCTCTTTCATATAATATTTTGCGACGATTTAACTTCCCAAGTATTATAATATTTGCAAGTATTCTAGATCTTTCTGCGAGAATTTCAAGGACACGCTGCCTTTCTTATACACAACACTTTGGTATTCAATAATACTCTTCTCAAAAAAAAAAAAATGTAAACAAAAATTATGAAAACGTCCGTTTATAATTAAATTAATTAAAATACATACGTTGCAAATACGCTGATTATAATGTCATCGTCTCGCGAAATATCATATTCTCGAAATATTTAGGATTGCTAAAGAGATCTGAAGTATAATGATATCTAAATTAGAAGAATAAATCAATTATAAATGAACAAACACAACAAAGATGCATTAATTATGTCAGATATTACAAAATCTTTATGACAATTTATCGCAAATCATAGAAATATATTTGATTGAACATTAAAAAGTTTATACAATTTTTACACGTTACCTGCAACGTAGACTCGCGATTTAGCAGTGCCGAAGAAGCTATGCAATTCCTCCTTCTCATTTGTTGTGCCACCGAAATTGTCGAACCATTTCTCATTCCTCTTTATCCACACCCTGTGAAATCAAGATTGGTTTTAAAAAAACCTCTTTAAAAAAAAAAAAAAAAATGTAAACAAAAATTATGAAAACGTCCGTTTCGATATTATGGAAAGTCACAAGAGATAATAACGTATATTCGTTCTAACATTTAACGTTCGTACGATATTTTAGAATATTATACACGAGCAAGATATGCTTATTTTTTTATATGATAATATGATAATTTCGTTATATTCTTACCAGCGAATACGTTGTACGGCGTAATCGCATTTCTCCGGAGAGTCTGCCAGAATAATCTTGTCTAATATAAGCTTAATTTCTTTGTTGTCACCGTTATTCTCATTATTATTTAAATCTTTATTATCTTTATTATCTGCATCTTCCTCGGATTTATCTTTACAGCTATCATCGTTCCGATTTTTATCTCGATTTTTTATATTTTTATATAAATGTTTGACGCTACGAAGCACGTTATTGCGATACTTCGATGCCAAAAAGACGAGTCCCACGGTCACGCAAACGAGAAACATTTTGTTGCGCGCGGGAACCATTAATTAAAGAGAGAACGTAATTAAGACAGACGGAAAATTGGATTAAAAACTTCTTATTTACAATTCAGATTCGTTATATACACGCACGAGCAACTCGTTAATGTTACAATTTTATAAATATCAATCGATTATTGAGAAATTGTACTATCACGCCAACGATTATGCGAAAGCGCAATTTGTGAGATCAATTTTCAATCACACTGATAAACTTCTCAAACTTATTATATAGACATTTATATAAAACTGACGTAAACTAGCGATTATTAAACATGATAAATCTACTAGTATTCGAAATCGCGATCGCGCCTGCTTTGAAACTTTCGTATAAAACAATCATCTCGCGGTGATCAGATCTCCGACACATCGAAATTTAACGAGGTTCAAAAGACCCCGTAGCTTTATAAACGACCAGCGTACGCTACGGGTATCACGCACGACTACGAGACAATTCCGATCGAACACACTTATATCAGCTGTTCGAATCGATCTTCCTGTCGGAAGTCGGAGTCGAATCTCGACAAGCGCTTTGTCCAGTCGAGAATCGAAATTCTTCGATCTCCGTTCACAGAGGAAGTAAGAAAAATCTTCTCCTTTCTCGGAGTTTTTTGTCTTATCGTTAGAATGGACCATATTTGTCTTGGCCTATAAAAAAATAATCTTAAATAAAGTGTTATAAAATTCCTTCTTTGACATTTTTTGAGTGCGCTAATGCTAAAGCAGGCTACGGCTACGAGAAATAGCAAGATTGATTGGCTACGTCCTTTCTGTCTTTCGATATATATCGAATGAGATATGATTGGTTAATGCTCCAGCATGTTCTGTTGGATATTCAACATGGCGTATTTACTTTTGCGTACTTATCTTACATTATCCAGTTATTTCTTGGAGATACATTTCTAATCTTTCTTCGTAAACGCATGTAACGCGCTTATACCTCTATAGTATAGTTTCCTATCTATAGTGCTCATAGATTTTGTTTTTGCGCGTCAATTGCGGCGAGATTCAAGTTTTGTTTTTAGGTTACATGCTATTTATACAATAGTGTCCCAAAAGGTAATGAGCTAGTATCGTACTGTCGTCCGATAGTCCATGAGGATCTTGGTCGAGGTACAATGATAACTTGCGCAGCCAACGGCTGTCCCTCGACACAGACTACGAGGATAGACGGCAATCTGATATTGTTTTTTCCTTTCCCAGACGATGATCTGTAAGTATATTTCTTGAGTAGATGATTAATTATTGTGGAGAGTCAAATTATTAACTTGTACACTGAATTTCAGAAGAAAGAATCAATGGCTTCACAATTGCAATTTGGCATCGGGTATTATCAACGACCAGAAACCTTTGCATCTCTGCGAGTTACATTTTGAAAGAATTAATTTTACAGCATCGAG